TCTGAGGAAACCTGATGAAGGTTGGAAGAGGAAGCGTGTGTTTGGGAGGGTGAGTAGACTGTTATGAAAAAAGGAAAAACCTAATCTAGAATTCTTAGAGCTGCTGAGCTATGTGAAGGTATAATTTTTATTTGTATTCTGTCTCGGGAAAAAATAATATGAGGTAAGAGCTGCAAGTGTTTTTGTGGTTAAGCTTTACTTCAGAATTCTTTGTCTGACCCTAAATTTTTACAGGATGGGTTTTAAGATTAAATCAATGGAAAAAAACATGTCAGCTTGTGTAACTACGAGGATTTTTTTTTATATTGGTTTGATATCTTTGCCTTTCTCCTGCCCCTGTTCTCCAGCTGAAGTGCAGCTTTCACTGAGTTTCAATAAGTGTAAGCAGGATTGTGATTCCTAATGAAGAAATCTGCCAGCTGCTAATTTGGCATGGATGTGCCTTGAGCAGGAAGAATTGCACAATGCAATGCGTTTACTTCCAGAGTGGAAGCAGTAATTTTTGAAATCTAAAAATTTCAATTTTAAAATTGTTTAGATTATTGAGAGAGATTTTTACTGCTTTTAATAAAGTTAATTCTTTTCTTTAATTTTTTCTTCCCAGATAATATTTACTTTTCCCCTTTTTTTTTTTTTTTTTTTTTTAATACAAGAACATAAATAAAAATTGACTGGGAGAGAGGATGGGGAAAAGGAGAAAGAGTTTAGAGGAAGAAAGAAAATGAGAAGAAAAAGCAGGGAGATATGCGAAGCCCCTGCTTCTCAAACCATAAGTGAAACCATTTCTGGAAGTACTGTTGTACATTTTTCAGAAAGGTTGTTTTTGTTTTGGTTTGGTTTGGTTTTTTTCCTCTGGACCATATAAGAAGATAGGGCATCTAACCTGATTTTTGTCATTAATGTATAGTTGGAGCTGACCGAGGCCAGTTTAAATAGATGGGATAACTACAGTGGAGTGGGAGTGATTTAAAAAGGACAAAGTCCTCTATAATAGAAGCCAGTGCAAGAGCATTTTCCTGTTGTAGCAGGTCAAAAAATAGCTACCTGTAGCAATGGTGCCTTCATTTCTATCTATATTAAATGTTCTTTTGAGCTTTTAGACAGACCTTTTCTACAACAATCACTCCTTTGCACGCTTTCCCTTTTTGTTAGGTTTTCTTAATGCTTCATGGTATTACTTTCTAGAAGAGGCAGCTTCTCAGCTTTACCCTCCCACACATCCCTCATAAATACCTCAGTAACATAAACACCCGTGTATGGATATATATTTGTTAGGGCTGTTTTAGAGTGCAGCACTGAGAAAAGATGCCAGGTTGGTTGATTCAATGCATGAAGCTTTCATTTGTATGTGGAACTGGTACAGCGGCATTAGTAATGGGAGAAAATTTCAAACACATTTCTGTTAGAGGATAGTTGACAGAATCACAAAACTGTGGAGGCAAGAAAGGACCTCTAGAGATGCTTGAGCTCCATACTCAAAGCGTGGACAGTTGGAGTAGGTTGCTCAGGGCCATGCTTAGTCAGATTCTAGGTATTTCTAAGGATGGAGATTTCACAGCCTTTCTGGGCAACTTTTGACAGTGTCTAGTCACTCTCAAAAAAAAAAAACAAACCAAAACAAAAAAAATAAACCAACCAACCAACAACAACAACAAAAAAAAAAAAACAAAAACAACCAACCAACCAAAAACCCAACCAACCAACCAAAACTCCAGAGGTTTTTCCTATACTTAAATTATTTCTTTTATTTCAACTTCCGTCCATTGCCTCTTGAAGTTTCATGGGGCACCACTGAAAAGGGCCTAACTCCATTTTATTTGCACCCTCCTGTTAGATGTTTAAGCACACTGATAAGATCCCCTTGAGTCTTTTCAAAGCTTAATGGCCCCAGCTGTCTCAACCTCTCCTTGTATATCAGATGCTCCAGTCCCTTAATTATCATCATAGCTCTTTCCTGGACTCACTCCTGTAAGTCCATTTCACTTTCACTTTCTGATATGCTTGGCAATCCTCCCCAGTAATTGACATTTTGGGTCTGAAACTGAAAGTAATGCTGCTGTTGTCAGCCCTGGTGTTGTTCCTATTAAGTATCACCCCACCCTCCAAAGGGAGTTAATGTCATAGAACTGACCAATTTCTTGGTGTTATGACAAGAAATGTTCCTCTGCAAAGGCAACACACCTGCTTAGCCCTGATTGGAGGATGGTTTTCCTCTCTTTCTTAGGGCATTGCAGGTATTGTTTCATGAAGTCGGATGTTGGAATACTTCCCAGTAATATCTAAAAATATTGAATTGCCAAGACTGTAGTTGTGTCTTTGTTAGAAACAAGTGGAAATGGACTTGACCATTGCCAAGTATTTAATTGACATTTGATCAGGTGTTAGATGGGTGTGGAGTCCTATGCTCCAGGCATCTTTTGTATTGATGTTTCAACTATGTGCTCTTAAACAAAGCAAAAAAAAGGAAAGAGGAAAAATCAGACAAAACACCAAAAAAATCAAATAGAAGAGGAAATGCAGTGAACTTGTATGCAAGCTCATATTTTAGTTATTTTAAAACCAAAAATTATTTAAAAAAATATTTTTACTACGCTCTTTCTATTTTTTCACTTTAAATGTTAATTTTTTTTTGTCTTTTAAATAGTTTATTTGTCTGGATGTGTCAAATAAGAGCGATGCTGCATGCTGCCAGGTGGCATAGTTTGACAGCTACTTGAGTCAAATATAGTATTTTTATACTGCATATATTGAAAATAAATTAGGTGTCACTACATTTTATGTTCTTAGTGTTAAACAAGAGCTACATAATGCAAATGGGGAAGTCTTCATAAAATGCTAAGTAAATAAGATGATATTATTTGAAAATACCAGGGTATGTTTTACTTTTTGAAGCTTAACTTCAGTGGGTTTCAATGTGGTATTAAATTGCTGGTTATGTGGGATGTTTAATAACTTCATAAATAATGAGATTAATTCAATGAATAGTGAGTGATTGGTGAATAAATTGCTCCTGTGTTCAGTCAGTTCTCCATATTAAAATTAGGATGCAACAGAGCAAATGAAGCATTGACTGCAGGTGGGTGGATATACTTCTCTGAATGCAACATTGACTCCTACATATAAAGGGAGGTTCCTATCTTACTCATAGTATTAAAATGGTCACACTTGGTTGTAATAATTTTTGACTGGGGTTTGTAAGCCTGTTCTTATCCACAGAAGTATGAAAGCAGAATTTTAAAGAACAGAAAACCAGTCTTTTGAATTCTGAAAGGAAATATCAAGTGGGTGTGTTTGTGTGTGAATGTATGATTTATACCTAAAATATGAACCCACACGTATAGGAATTGGTAAGATGGAGCGAATTTTCAGAGCACTTTTTATTTAACAAGAAATTAATTTACCACTCTGTACTACTTCCAGCTGTCTGCAGTGTGGTGATTTGTGAGAAAGGATTGTTGGAGTTTGATTTAGAACAAAGTTTTTATGACAAATATTTCCTGTTATATTTGAGATCTCTGCGATAACATGTTTCCATACCCTCCCAGATCTGTTAGAACCTGCTTAATGGCTCTCAAGCAAAGTCCCAGGCTCTGATTTCCTTCTGTGTTCTGCCTTGTGGGCCATGTGGGAGGGAAAATTAGGTACAAGAGGGAGCAGGTGGTGCAGGACCCAGCAGCAGATGAGCTATAAACTTGGGGAGAACAATGTAGGTAGAAGCAATTAATTTTATATTGAAGTACACTCTTCCTTCCACTAATCACAGCTGCTCAGGTCTCACTGTGAAGAAGAAAGGATGATAGACAGATATTTGTAATGCAGTGAAAAAACTCCACCTAGTTTACAATTTAGATGGTCTTGTGTTAAAATCTAAAGTCACTTAAATTCCAGCTCTAGGGGAACATGAACTTTTCCTCCTTAGAAAATGTATGTTAATAGGGAACCTGGGGACTGGCTCTGGATGTATTTGTCAGCCTAATGCTACATCAAACCCATGACCTTTTTTTTTTTTCCCTTTTTCAACTCTTTAAGCTTAATGATTAAATGATGATAAAATAAGAATTCCTATTATTTATTTCACCAAGTTTTCTGTACATTATACATGTGGTTATAATAGTTGTTAAATTAGAGATGGAAAAAGGTAGGCTATAGATCATAATTTTCTCTTTTACATCAATTAAATAAGGACTAGTTCTGCTATAATTGCTTCATTATGGTAGCAGAGAGATGAAGTTTCTCTTTACATACAGGACCGGTAGAAGCCCTATCTACTTATATGACCTTAACACCTAGACAGCCCACTTCTGGATTACACTCGTACAGTCAGTGCTGTGTCCTCACCAGTGCTGACCTCAGTGGTCTGAAGCAGGCCTGGAAACAAAGGACACACTTTGAAAGGAGTCCCCTTACAGCAGTAAAAAATTCACCCTTGTAATGAATAAGCAGTGGTGAAATGTATACTGTTTGGAGTACCTAGACCAAGTCTGGGTGTCCCATGGGAGAATAGGGGAAGGAGAACAACTTCTAATTCAATCATAAGTTTATGGACTGCAAGCAGAAACTGCTGTATGAAATGGTATGCCTTGTATTCAGAAGGGGTGGGATTACAGAGGGGTCATTTTCAGTCCTTTAGGCTCTTAAAAATCAGTGGAAGTTGGAGACCCTCTGTAACAAGGGAGCATTTTACCCAGGAGCAAGTGAGAGAGCAGTGAGGTCATTCAGAGTCATGGGGTTTACAAATAGGCCACGAGACTAAATTCCAAATTATTATGGAAAATAAGTGCATGTTTGCAATGACTGTGTTTATGTGGAAATCCTTTGCCTTAGTTTGAATGTTTCTCTTGGAACCACTTGACCCCCAGAGGCAGTCTTCAAGAAATAAGTTTGGAAGAAATATATGCGTTTGGCCTGCTAAAGCTAGTTGAGTCAGATGTTTGGATTTGTCACTCCCCTTTCTTATATAAAGTCTGTGTTCAGCTGCTCAGTAGGGTTTGCTAGCCAGACTGAGGAGACTACTTGTTCTGAGCTACGTTTCCTGCCTTGTCTGTTCTGCGAGGGTTCTGATGCTTTGGCCTGTGTTGTAGCTGTTGTGTCCAATGTTGTAAACTGCCTGGGGTAAGTACAGGAGGCTTGAACTGACTAGTGGCTTCCCACAAGGGAGAAGAAACAGCAGTTTAATGACTAAATACTCAATAACTTTGTAGACCGAGTCCAACAGGGAAAAAATAATAAATTAATAATTTTAAACTTCGATGGGAAGTAGAGTGCCCCAACAGAGTTTCATCTTATTTTTATTTTTGCAATCCAGAAAGGGTAGCTTTCAAATAACCAATGTTGAGCATAGCAGCATCATTAACCAAGGTGATGGGTGACATAGCAGCTGCCACGACTTGTCTGATTAGCAGGCATTTTCCCTCATTGTATCTTTTGTGTCCATTTGGCTCTGCTTACATCTTCAGGATTTAGCAGGACTGAATAGTCAGCTTTGAAAATCTGTCCCTACACGCATGTGAAATGGGGGGGTACACAGGACTTCACAGAGCTGAACACAGCAGCAGCATGCATAAGGAGTATGTCACACTCAGTGCTAAACCAACCCCTATGTATTTCTTACTATTAAATCTGAGCCTAAGGTTATGTGTGCAGTGCAAATTGCCTCAAGTTTCCTCTTCTGAGTGTATACAGTTGTGGACATTTGCATGCTCACTTTTCAAGCTCTGGCCTTTACATGGATGGCTTTTAGTGTTAGCTAAGCAGCAGACACTTACTTGAATGGTGCTTTCCGTGTGGGCTCTGCCCCTTTTCTGCACAAGAGCGAAGTGCTCCAGAGGCTGTTGTGCAAGTCATTACCCAGACGGTTGTGATGAGGTGCTTTGAGGCCCATGACAATTTACTGAGAAGAGGGATGTGGCAGCGGCCAAAGACGTGGTAGTGACTTGTATAGCTTCTGCCTCTTTCCCTCTCTTGCATATAGTAATAATAAATTATTGCTACCTAGGTTGGGCATTAGCCTCAATTATCAAAGTAATGTATTTCACCTAGAGATAGAATGTGAATTGGGAAGTAATCTTCACTCTCATTTTAATGCTGTAAGATTTCAAGGTAACTACCAGCTTCCTGACAAATTGGGCCCGTAAATACACCTTAGTTTGGTGCTTATTTTGCACGTATGCAGGACGGTGCTTCTGCAATCTGTGTGCTTTGTGCAAATTGTGCAGCTTTCACTTACTCTGACAAGAACCACCCAGTTAGTCTGAGATAGTTGAGCCACAGCATTTTAATTGTTCTATGTGCTGTTAGACCTCATCACATTGTTATACCCAGGAGAAGGCAATTTTAATTTTCATATCGAATAGTAATGCTCCAAACTAAACATATTTCTTTGAATCAAAGCAGCCGAAACTTGAAAGCATTCATAAAGTGGAAACAGGTGTAGTCAGCTGTTTAAATACTTTGCAAGTTGTTTGACACATTACCACAGTAGTTCAATTCAAATTTGAAAGTTAGGCATTTGCATAAATAGAGTGAGATCATAAATCATTTTGGACAGCATATTATTATTGCGTTAGTTCCTGTGGATTGATGGAAACAAGTAGCTGCAACAAAGTAATGCAAGCCTGTTCTGAACATATATACATGTTTATGATCATTAAAGCAAAGAAAGTAATAGAAAAATTTTCATAAATATTATTAATAAAAATCAGACAAAGTTTTTCCCTAACTGCATTATTTCTGTTGTTCCTTTCATTAAGCTTGGAGTTGCTGAATTGGAGTGGCTTAAGTGTTTGTTTAAATAAAATGTCAATAGGGCACCTAAATTCCATGTAAAAGTGAGCTCAGGCACTGTGTTTACAGAAGTGAACTCCAGACGCTACAGAGCACTCCAAATCGTGCGTTATCTGGGTTCTCCTGTTGCTTTTGAATAATTGTTGCATGCCATGACCCATGATCTTTGTTTCCCTAGAAGTACACACTACTCCGTATGTTATGACATACTGCAAGAAGGGATGAAAATATTAATCTTAAAAAAAAAAAAAAAAAAAAAGAAGTTAATTTAATGGAGGAAGAAGGGGGAGAGCCAAGCATTATGTTATAGTTTTTTGATGAATGCTCTATATTTCATCTTTATGCACTTGAGCCAAGAGACTAACTCATCTCTTTGCCTAAACATATGGTGGCTTTGTTTTCAGGCAGATTTGTGACAGTAGTGAGTGAGTGACTTTCCAGGCTCTGACAGTTGTCATATTCATGGGTAGCAGTACTGCCAAAGAGCATACATATTAACATGGTTATTCAAATTCCCTGTAACATCAGAGTACTGAATTCAGAAACTGCTTCTCCTAAAAAGCTGAACGTTATTATGTTTGTTTGCTTGGGGGTTTTCTGTTCATTTGTTTGGAGATTTTTGTTTGTTATTTTTACAGTTTTTGAAAGTCTTTGTTTCGGATCCAACATATACAATAGAAACTGATTGCCTTTGATCTAAAGTAGTCAAAGATACTGGATTTCAGCAACTACAGTCTTTTTCTGGGGAATAGATCTGTTTGTGGTGTTTAAAGGTGGGAGCTGACTGGTGCATTTTCTCATTAAACAATAAACATGAAAGACTGTGAAATGGAAAGCAAAAGGAACAGTATCCCTGGCTTTTGCTTGACAAGGATCATACGACACATCCACTCTTGCATCCTGGTAGGTAAACTAGGCAAGAAAGGGAAGATAATGAAGAAAACAGTCTTGAATAACAAGTTCAAATGCTAAGGATTTTATGGAGATGGGAGAACCTAGATAGGGGACCAAAAAGACCATGGCGTGCTGTGCTGAGAAACCTCAATTCAAACATATAAAAGGAAAAGAGAATATTTTTTTATTGGACAATTATTATTCTACAGCCAATAAAACGGGATCAGGTGATTGAGATCAGATCTAAAGAAAGCTAACCCCTCCGTTTCTTGAAAACACGCTAAAATTTTTAAAGGAAAATACCATCAAGATCAAAACAGCTTCATTATACTGAAAAGGAAGAGGGAAAGGGCATCCAGATAAGAACAGTCTTTTTGTCTTCTGCTCAGTTCCCGATTTTCTCCTTGATAGTGCTATTAACTGCCAGCCATACAGTGGCAGCATGCTCAAACTTGATTACTCTCGTACTTGCTAGTTAGATTTCAAAATATAGGATTTTCCAGGAGAATGATGAGTAAAACAAAGCAAGCTAACTTGGCTGTTAACTGTTTATAAGTGTTATTTGCTGAAATTTTGATGCTGTCTATCCCATATCCTATATTTTCTACAGGAATTGACAACTGGATGATGGAGTTGCAATTCTCTGCTTCTAATCTGCATGCATCAGAGCTTATTTAAATGTAAACAGCAACCTCAAATTTCTCCAAATTTATTTTTGCAATCTGAGAGCCCTAAAAGTTCTAACTAAACTAATATTCAGTCTCAAAATAGAAGATCTTTCTATAAGTGTATGACGCTCCTAGAACCAGAGCCAAATCAAATCTGTGTAATAAATAATGAACTGTACCTTTTTATAGGACACAAATATAATTGAACACGTAATTTAACAATTTAGCAGAATAGCCAAACGCAGTACATAACAAAAGATGGCAACCAGTTCTGTTGTCATCTTCCAGATCATTTTGCTCCCAATGAGATGAGGTGGTTATAACCCAAAGCTGCCAATAAAGCTGTCCAAAGAAAGCGAGCAAAAGAAGATCAGATTTTCGTTATATAAATATGTAGATGCTTAATGAAAATAAGAAGGATCAGTCAGTGTCAAACTTCTTATTTCCGGATATACTTTCACAAACTAACCAAGTCCTTGATGTATTTGGAAAGCAGGAAACTTCTAATAACTAGTCTTACAGAGAGAAGGTACAATATGGAAAACAAACCAAAAATTCTATTTTTATTTTTGATGCAAAAAAAACACTTAGACACATGCTACATTTTATAATCTGGTTAGCAAAGGATTGAGGCATCTACTTGAGTTCTCCCAAAAGTACTACTTAAAAATTAATTCAACAAGCTGTTGAGAAATCTTGTTTGATCCAGTAAAACACTCAAGCATGTGCAAAGTAATATGGTACACTCCACATGTCACCTGAACTCTGTTGCTTAATCTGTTATGGATTTTTACTCAATAAGATTAGTCTCATTTGTCCCAGTCCACTCTTATGCATAAATTTACTCTTGCCTTGGCATCAGGGGATAGATTTACTTTTGTATTAATTGCAACCTAAGCTTTAAATTATCAAGTTAAATGATGACAAAGGATCACAATTGAATGGGGAATAGCAGCAGAAGCAATGATGTTTTAATCTCGGGTAAAGTTTGAACTCATGAAATGAACAGGAGTTCAGGTAATGGCTAAACTGGACAAAACTCCCCTGTTCAGTGTGACGTGAAACTAACTGTGCACTTTGTAGTTCTCTTCTTAATACTGCCATGTACCTGTGTGGAGAATGATCAAGCCACGGGACAAAAGGAAAGCATATTGTTCTTTTAGAGTTTCCAATTTCCTGAATTCTTACACTTCTTCAGGTGTGAATATTTCTGATATATTTTCCATTTTTCTGATGAGGAGATTTGGTTGCATATAGGGATATCCACTAAATGACTGGAATAAAGGCCTTTTAATGGCATTGGGTGTCTCCAAATTCGACTGTCACTAAACAAAAATAAGTTTGCTGAATGTAAAATAACTGCATCACATCATGATGTTTTAGAGACCAAAAGTATAAATTGGATCAAATAACGGATTAGGTAAATTTACAAAAGAGTCATGAACTATTAAACTCAGTCGTTTGCCAGTTAGTTGAGTGGAGTCCCTAATTTGACATTCAATTATAAGATAAGGAACACTGTACATTTGCTTTGATTCTTCAGTGTTTCCCTTAAGTATCCACTGTTGGTCATCACGAGAGATACGATATTGGGCTCTGTGTTGGATCCATTGACCTGACCCCATAGCTGATACGTTGTGATGTAGTCATAGTCAAACCTGGTAGACCTCACCAATAGAAAAGCAATTTATTGTCATCCCACATGTGATTGTTGAGAATAATTTGCTAAGGGTAAAATGATTTTAGACGGTCTTCTAGAAAAAGCCA